AAGTCATGTGGAGAAAGAAATGAAAGTTGCAAGGAAGGATCAGAGGCCTGGAATTCAACACATCCTAGGGCCTTCTTAACGACCCTGGAACTCAATATGAGGATATCCAGACCTGTTCTTGAATATGTCCATCCATTTCTTCTGTTCCTCATTCATCCTTGGAGATGTTTACAAGCAATAAAAAAGTTTTACCTTTCCCCCCCGCAGTGTTGCCATCCAGGTCTGCATAGAACTTCTTGCACAAGGTAAGACTTAAATATACTAATTCCTATGGCATAGATATAGCATAATGTACTAAAACTCTTGTAATGAATATCAGAAATGTAATTTTCATTTTGTGCCAACATTAATTCAGTATAAAAGTATAATTTGGAAATTTGAATTTTACTATCAGTTAAAATAATAGATGAAAGAATGCGCATGCAGAAGAAAATTTAAAATGTCAAATTAGAAATGTTAAAAATTAACAAAAACACCCCAAACCTATTGCATTTTACATTTTAACAAAAATGATACAGTACTCATTTTATAGTACTTTAACAGTGCAATTGTCTGCATGTCTACTCAGAAGTAAGCCCCACTGCATTCAAAGGGACTTACTCCCAACTAAGTGGGTGTAGGATTCCAACCTAAGATAAACTAGAGGAGGATATTTCACTCCTGATTGACAGTGTGGATATACTGTGTCAGACCTCTCTCTTTTCTAATAAAGATGATCTGTCAGTTGATATGCATTGAAGCCTTTGCTTCAAAAGATGCACCAATAGTAGACAAACAGTGGAACACAGCAAGGCTTTACAGTTACATTTTAAATTGGACAGAGTGGAAGAATCTGAATGCCAAAAACTACAGAGACCAGAATTTAATTTCATGGATATAAATCCTGTTTCGTTTACAATTTATCTAAAAGGTTTATTTCGTTAAAACAGTGATGCCTCAAATAACATTTTTAACTCTTTCCAGAGAAAAGTAGCCTTAATGCAGGAAATGAGCTATTTTATTCATGCTTTATTAGAATAACTTAGGTAAAATACATTGCAGAAAGGTAGCTCATTTAGTTAGTGGTTGTGTGAGAAGTGGGCGCATGTCCCCCAAGTACAAGGTCTTGTCATTGAATTATGGCAATGCCCAACCTCTTCTTTCTTTGTTCTATTGTTCTTTTAAATGAAAACTGAATCAGTTCCCCATGCCCACATCAACCCAAACTCTCAGTTATTCACTATTCTCTACTAGTGCTATTGAATGTGAAATACATCAAAGAAAGTTGCCTTATTCCCATTCAGGCTATTTTTCCAACTATTCCAGTATTGTCTGCACTGGTTGGTACTTGCTTTCTATAGTATCTGCACTTTCCCATTGCCTGCCATCTAAGCTTCTCCACTGGAGATGACAGGCACCAAACCTGAGATTTGCTATGGGGCCTACCAATGAGATGTGGTCCCTTTTCAGTGGCATTCACTCTTCGCCCAATAGAATGGCAAGGACATGGTAGGATGTGTAGCTGTACAAACTGCCATATGGAATAAGCAAAGAAATTGTATCTTAAAGATAATTACAAGCCTCCTTGAATTGAGCTGAGAGGCTTTCCAAAGGGAGGTTCTCTTTATGCACACAGTTTTGCATTTATACATTTCTTGATTACATTTTATATCCTCACTATAACTATAGTTCTCTGGCCAGTGCACAAAGGTCCCCTTCCTTCAGAGAAAGGAGTTCTTCCTCTTGAGGCTGATCCTTCTAAAGAAGGAGAGGAATATTTGAATGCAGTCTAGAGGAACTTTACAATTACAAGTCACCAAACTAGAATGATGTAAGGTTACAAACAAAAAAGAAGTTAGTGTAATAGAAATACTTTTATCTGTTCATCCATTAAATACCTAACGGAACATTTATCTTTATTTAGTATTCACTGCTGCTGAGGTGTCTCCAATAAACTGCAGCCATGTCGTCAGACGCTGAGATGGCCATCTTTGGTGCAGCGGCCCCTTTTCTCCGAAAGTCAGAGAAGGAGAGAATTGAGGCACAAAATAAGCCCTTTGATGCTAAGACCTCTGTCTTTGTGGTGGATCCCAAGTTGTCTTATGTCAAAGGCACTGTTCAGAGCAGGGAAGGAGGGAAAGTCACAGTCAAGACTGAAAGTGGAGAAGTGAGTATTAGACAAGAAATCTGTTGTCAAAATATATCCTTTGTAAGATAATATCTTACAAAGATATAATATTCTTCCTTTTTTAGACTGTGACAGTTAAGGAAGATCAAGTCTTTGCAATGAACCCTCCCAAATTCGATAAAATTGAGGACATGGCCATGATGACCCATCTCCATGAACCTGGTGTCCTGTATAACCTCAAAGAGCGTTATGCAGCCTGGATGATCTACGTGAGTAAAGCCTTAGTATTTTGTTTTTTCCTTCTCCTAAAGCCATGAGGCTTTAGATAAGCATGCTTTCGGGGTGGCACGTAATATTCTCTTGAGAGCTCTGTGGATCGCATATTGACTGAGAGGTACAATTCTGGGCCATCTTCTCTGCCTTCCTTCAACTTTTCACACACCACTTTGCACAAAATATTACTCATATCCTCAGCATAAGGGAAAGGAACACTGATTTTTTTCATTCAAGTATGCCTTAAAAAGCCAAATAGCTGAAGCTTTACACATAATGCACAAATAGAGTTTTATGATGGTAAACAAACTGTAACTTCAGTGATTGCTTGCTCTTTAAAGAATGAAAAATCCTTGGATGGCCACGTGGTAGATAAGCTTCTTTAATTCAAGCATCATCACCACAGTCTCAAGATCCTGTAATGTTTCCTATATTGCCACTAGATTGTCTGCCTGGTGAAGCATAGCTCAGATGTTCTGGTCTAAGCTTTCACATTGGTCTGAGATGCAGCCTCATACTGGCATATTTCTGCCCTCAACATATCTGGCATGCTGCAACTAGATCTTCCTAGGGCCCCTGCAAAGGCAGGCAATGCAGCTGGGAACCATTGTATCTGTATGCTACTCTGGGGTTCTTTTAGCACCATGTGCACAGCAAGTTTCCAGGAGAACTTTTACATGTTTGGAGTAGGAGCACACAAACTTTTGGGGTCATGGGCACATCTGAAAAATTGAGAAACTCTTCAGGGTATATAAGTATAAAATAACTCCTGTGGCAGGCATGGCTGCAGAGTATGGTAAATAACCTGTCCAGAGGCATTCGTAGGAAATTAAGATGGCAAGAGTTACAGGTTCCCACTCTGCTTTGAAAAGTTCCCAGCTTCCAGTAAGAAAATAAAAAAATCTTTTTTATACAAAAAATGGGAAGAGTAGAGTATCACAGTGAGCACCAAAGAAAGTGTTTGGGGGCACATGTTGTCTACCCCTAGTCTAGAACCTCTGCACTCTGATTTCTTCATGCCATGCCTAAATCATGCTTGAGCTGAACAAATAATTGTACAATATTACAATAAAATATAAATTTGAGATCAACAGAAGGCTTAGAAGGGTTCAAGCTTCACTTTTCACATTCTGTCCTTTCAACCCATTGCCACTCTCCAATCCCTTTGCACCACCTCCCCATTTATTCCCACCTGTTCGCCACCTAAACTTCCTAACCTCTTCTCTGCCACTTCCCCTGACACTCATTCCAACCTCAGTGCTGGGAAAGAGGACATGGAATGGGGTCCAGAGTTCTTTATCCACCTCCTTGTTCTCCTATCCGGCAAAGTGGAGGAACCAGGTAGCTGTTTGTTCCTCATTGTAATGATAGTTCCATCGCCATTTCTCACCAAGATTGGGCAAAGGACAGGAAAGTCATGTTTATACTTCATGGTAATAATCGTTTCTTCCCTGAAAGAAAAATCCTGTTCAAAAGTTAGTTTTTTTGGTTTTGTTTTAAAGAGAACACACCCCATTTTGGGAGGAATTCAAAACCTGTCAAACCACTCTCTGAACTTTCAATTACCCCAAGTCACACATATCTCTTATGTAGTTTAACTGACAATTAAAGTTTAGGTCTATCTGAAGGAGTTTAGCATTTAGGCCTATTTCACTTCTTTCTCTTTCTGGTTTTCCTTCTTTAGAAATAAGAAGGAGCTTCTTACAAATGATGTCTTTTTCTGGCTGTAGAGAATATAACAATAGTAATAAAAATATGAATGCACGCAAATAATTGAGCTAATTGTGTTGTTCTTCTGACAGACCTACTCAGGTCTCTTCTGTGTCACTGTGAACCCATACAAGTGGCTGCCAGTGTACAACCCGGAGGTGGTAACAGCCTACAGGGGCAAAAAGCGCCAGGAGGCCCCTCCCCACATCTTCTCCATCTCTGACAACGCCTATCAGTTCATGCTGACTGGTGAGTGGAGGAACATCTTTAAAAAATGGCTGTTCCTCAGAGAGAACATTAATGTCCTTTCAGAGACAGTGAAATATTGGATCAGTTCCAGGGCTGAGGTAGTTTAAAACTTCATCTGCAAACTATAACAGGAAATAAACTAGAAACTAAGCAGGCACTATTTTCTCTGGATTTGGGTTAACTGGGAGCTCAGCTCACTTAAGTTTAGATGCTGGAGCTCCACTACTCATGTATTTTCAAATGAATGTGACATTCATACCTAGCACAGGCATATTTCTAATTCTTTTATCTGCTTCATATGGTTTTCAACTGGGGCTTCAGTCAAAGTAACTTTAAAAAATCTTTTTCAGATCGTGAGAATCAGTCTATTCTGATCACGTAAGTATTCTTTCTTGGCCCAGCCAGGCTTTTCTTCTCTTGATCCTGCTGAAATGGAGCCAGGGCCCTACCTGTCATGGTAGAAGGCAAAGGTTCAGGATGCTCTTGTGCATCATGAAGTCTAAGAACATTCCATACTTTAATGTCATATCAGTGAATCAGACAAACTGTTGTTTGGCAATGGGAATTACTCAGTAGTCACTCCCTAGTTTCTCTGAGGTATGCATGGCAGTTGGATGGCTAAAAGAGTAGTGTAAGGCTACAGTCCAATGGAGAGGCCTACAGCCTGCTGAATTTGGAGGATTACAAGCATCTTATCGCACAAGCAGGGAAGGAAAAGCAAGAGAGGAGATCTCTGCCTTCTCACTCCTGAAGCCCTGCAACTAAATACTCAGTTTTGGTATAGTGCCTTGGAAGGGAAGGAAAGGAGCACCATCAGAAGATGTATCCTGATGGATCCAGTCCATTTTTAAGGTTGCTCTTACAAGCTTGGAGAAGCGGCCAATATGGCTCTTTGCACTTTGGTTTTCTAGGGTATGAAAATATACAACAAACACTAATCAACGATATATAATAATCAATAGTATGTACAATCAAACAGAAATAATACTTCAATTAAAATGGCAACAATGAACTCACAGCAACCACATTCAGATCAGTAAGGAGATATAACAGCAGTACAAGATAAAATACAATTAAAAGATGAGAATAAAAATGTAACTGTTAAAATACTGGATAAATAAAAAAGTTTATACCTGGTGCCAAAAAGAATAAAGAGTAAGGGCCAGAAGCACTCTTTGGGCAGCTGGTTCCATAATTGGGGTACCACAACTGAAAAGGCCCTTCTCCTGGTAGCCACCTCTTTGTGTCCTTTAGAGGACACTCTCTGATGTAGGACATGAAAGGACTTACCCAGGCATGCCAGGTCCTTAGAACAAAGGAATGATTCCCTCATACCAGCAACACCTATGAAACCTGAGTTAAGTCACATAGGCAGAACTGAGCAATTGGTTGCCAAGGCTCCTAGTTCCAGCCTCCCAGATGAGCATGGGAACCATCTGAATTCAAATGCATCAATCAGCATCCATAGCAGGAATTTCAAACCAATGAACCTCTGCCATTGCTGTCTGGTCAGTGAAGGTATGAAAGGGGATGGCACCATTGCTCTGAGTCGATTGCCCTTTTGCTTGCGACTGAACTATTATTGAGAAAAAAACCAATATTAGGGTCTGGGCTAGCATGCCAAGACTGGATCCCTTGTGTCCTACACTATGAAGGCCCTCAGATGATGGCCTCAAGGCCTGGGTAGGCATATACAGGAAGAGACATTCCTTCAGATAGATATGAGCTCAGATTCCCAATTCCAACCTGAATCAGGGAAACTAAAGTATTTTATGGATCTCTAGGTAATATCTAGGGACAATAGGATCATTCATACACTCCCTCATACACATTCTCTCTTACACACTCATGTGCATGTGTGCGTGCACACGCACATGCACACATGCTCACACACACACTTACGTCCTTTCCATGGAATTCAGCTTGGAAAAAGCTTTCCCTTAAAGTCAGTGAAAAAGTTACTGAAAGCTTAACTTTAGTGCAAGGAAGTATTTTTGGAAAGGAAAAATAGCAGTACTAATAAGGAAGATTAATCCTTCCCTGTCCTCTGCTTTTCAGTTCTGCCCCACCAATTACTCTTGCAATGTAATTAGCTCTGAAAAGGCTTTCCAGTAAGAAGGGTTTTCAAACCTAGTTCCTATGAAAAGTAGTGGTAGTGGTGAGGTTCCTCACCCATGCTTTAGTGTATTTGAAAATCTTAATGTTATTATTTTGAATTCATTAATGCAACTCTTTCCTCTGGCCTTCTTTTCAACAGTGGAGAATCTGGTGCAGGAAAGACTGTGAACACGAAACGTGTCATCCAGTACTTTGCAACAATTGCTGCTGCTTCTGATAAGAAGAAGGAAGAGCCAGCCCAACAAGGCAAGATGCAGGTGAGCTTTTGCCAAAAAGATGGCATGTGTTTTTCTGCAACATCTCTGTGATTGACAATAAATAAACTGGTGATGTTTTCCTTGCAGGGCACCCTTGAGGATCAAATCATCAGTGCCAACCCCTTGCTGGAGGCTTTTGGAAATGCCAAGACTGTGAGGAATGACAACTCTTCACGTTTTGTAAGCATTGCAAAAAATCAGTACACAAAGGGTATACTTCATGTTTGTCCAATTATGTGCATTTTACCTTCAAATGCTAAGTCTCTAGTAGATTATAGAAAGAATTTTCTTCAAAGCATTTGTAGTAATATGCCTTTTTCTCTTTAAAGGGCAAATTCATCAGAATCCATTTTGGTGCCACGGGCAAACTGGCTTCTGCAGACATTGAGACATGTAAGGGACCTTTCTTTCCATGTTTTAAGTCAGGGTTGGGCAACCCTTTGAAGTTTGGGAATCACATTGGCTCCAACAGAACTGCATATTTGGCTGCATATGTGGTTGGGTCCACAGCATTCTCTCTCTCTCTCGCTCTCTCTCTCTGTCACACACACACACACAACACAGTGGTGGACAAACACTTCCCTGCAATGTGGTGGCTGTCAACCTGACCTCTGAGATAAAATATTTAAAGTATTTTTATTCTAAAATTTAGAGTAATAGCTACAGGAACCAAAAACTAGGTGTGGGGTGTGGAGGATGCAGCCAGTGAGGATGCCAAAACAGTGAAAAAGCTATCCTTTCAGAGAAGCAGGAGAATGATCAAGGCAAGGCAAGGCAAGGCAAAAAGCAGAGCAGTGAAGAGAGAGAAAGAGGAACTGGTGCTCTGGAAAGCACCTTGTCCAATGCATTCTCAAAACTGGTAGCACCTTCACACAGATACACACATACACCCAGGCACATACATACCCACAGACAAATGTACATGTCCACACAGGATTGCTGGGGGGTGGGGGGAGAACAGATTTTAACTATGCCCCTCGACGGCAGTGATCATGATCAATTTGGAAGGAGGCTAATGTCTCTTTCCCCCTCTCACCCATCCTATTGGAAAACACGGCAAGGAGAGCTACCCCATGTGTTTTCACTAAGAACTAGGCTCCTGACAGCCTGTCAAACTATGGTTTGGTGCTCTGCCATCAGCCTAAGTTTTCTAGGAAGCAGGGCACATGGAGAGAAGTCTTCTCATACTTCCTGAGTGGTGGTGACAACAGAGGTGCAGGACAAGGGGAGTCAGGACATCTTTGGTGGGCTGCATGCAATCACAGGTTGTCTACCCTTGCTTGAGACTGGTCTTTCGTAATTACACACCATTGCCTTGCCAGATCTGCTGGAGAAATCCAGGGTTACTTTCCAGCTGAAAGCTGAAAGGAGCTACCACATCTTTTATCAGATCATGTCCAACAAGAAGCCAGAGCTGATTGGTAAGAGAAGCATCTGTTCTGGTGCATGCCGTTGCTACTTAGATCTTGCTACAGGGGATGAAAACGTATCTGTGTTTCTCCTTATTCAGAGATGCTTCTGATTACTACCAACCCATATGACTATCACTATGTGAGTCAGGGTGAGATCTCTGTTGCCAGCATTAACGACCAAGAAGAGCTGATGGCAACTGATGTAAGTAACTTGTACAACTGGCCACATGGAGCATCACTTTGAATTACTAGAATTAGATTTTGGCTTTATTTTTTTCAATGGAAATGGAGTTGGGTGGATGAATCCTCCTTTCAAATTAGTGTTGTGGGGAGAGACGTTCTAGAAAATTTAGAATGCGAGAAGCTTTCTGGAAATGGTAGCCATTTCTTCCTGCTTTCGTGTAAGCATAGCTCTGCTGCCTCCCCAGGTCTACAGGAACATGTAGGAGTAGCGTGTGTGTAAAATCACAGACACAGGAGCCATGGCTAGTGGGGCCATTTTTTACCCACACTCCCCCTAGAGTGATAGCATGATGTTACATCAAGAACATCCAGAGGGGTAGCCATATTAGTCTGTTGCAACAAAGACAGACAAACGTACAAATCTTGCAACGTCGTAAAGACTAGCACATGTAGTTTTGATTAAGCTATGGACTGTGTCCACTGTATCTGAACAACTGGACATATCTGGGAAAGCTTATGTCAGCTAAATGTGTTAGTCTTTATGGTGCCTCGAAGGTCTGTGTTATTTTTCGTATAATAAGAAAAAGTGCTGTTCCAAAAGGGGCATTGTGCATGGAAATCACAGGCCACTAATTGCCAAATGGAATTAGTGGCCAAATACTCTGCCTCAGAACAGGATGATGAATTTGAAGGGTCAGTTTTGGCTCAGCATTGCATTTGACAGCAGTTTGATGACTGATTCCATTGACAGGAAGCCATTGACATCCTGGGCTTCACTGCTGAAGAGAAGACTGCCATTTACAAGCTGACAGGTGCTGTGATGCACTATGGGAACATGAAGTTCAAGCAGAAGCAGCGTGAGGAACAGGCTGAGCCAGATGGCACCGAAGGTATTTGTAAAATCCACCATAGATCTTTGTTACAGTATAGTAAATATTATATAACTTAGGACCTCTAATATGATATGGAGGATATATTATAAAATCATTTACATGACATACCTCCTTATATAATCTGTTACAATATTGCAATACGTTATGAGTATTTTCCTCACTGGATTAATGAAAACAGTGTGGGGGAGCCAGTGTAGTGTAGTGTAGTGGCTAGAATGCTCAACTGGATTGAGGAGACTTGGGCTGCAGTCCTTGTTCATCCATGAAGCTCACCAGCTGCCACTGGGCCAGCCACAGCCTAGACTACTCACAGGGTTGTTGTGAGGTCAAATTGGAGAGGCTGAGGAATATATGCATTACCTTGGGCTCCTCGGAGAATGGCATGCTATAAATGCAATACATAAATACCTTATTCCCCTTCAATGACTCAACAGTGTTTCTTTTACAGTTGAGTCACAAGAACAAATGATTTTGCTATATCCCCTTTTAATATTTGAATTAGAATGTGATTGGTATGTTTTGAGGATCTATTTTCTTTAGCCATTTGACTCGCAATGTCATAATTTAAAATATTGAACAAATTAGAAAAAAATCTAAAAGCATTAATTTGAGGTATTAAATTTGACTTAAGCAAAATCTTTGTGAAGTTATGTGAGATAATATTTGGATCTTCTATACAGCTGAGAACTGTGGTCTTTCTATTTTGTGTTGATGATCCTTTTTGCTTATGTCTGCTCAGTTGCTGACAAGGCTGCCTACCTCATGAACCTCAATTCAGCAGATTTGCTGAAAGCTCTGTGCTACCCCCGAGTCAAGGTTGGCAATGAGTTCGTCACCAAAGGCCAAACTGTCCAGCAGGTAACTCTATAAACTTGCAACTTGCATGCATCACAAGACTAACATTTCCTCAGAACTTTTCTCTGCTACTTTAGATGCTCACTCTCATTCTTGCATTGTGGTATTCTAGGTGTATAACAATGTTGGAGCTTTGGCTAAAGCTGTCTTTGAGAAGATGTTCTTGTGGATGGTTATACGTATTAACCAGCAACTGGATACAAAGCAGTCAAGACAGTACTTCATCGGTGTGCTGGACATTGCCGGTTTTGAGATCTTTGATGTAAGAGAATGTAACTTTGCTATGAGGGAGGCAGTTATCCTACACAAGTTCTCCTCTAGTTTTGTTTATAAATACATATATCATTACGACCAAGAGATCTCCGCTACTTCAGCTGTCTTTGAGGAATCATCCTTCAGGAGTGTTCTGGCCAGCTCACAGGATAGCGTATAACCCCTGCCCCAGGCTTCAGATGTAAAAATATGGCCTGGAAAACCTTTAGAGGTGGTAACAAGAAATGCAAGCAGTATGGAAATGAAAGGGCATAGACTCATATTAGCTAGTACCATAAGGAATTCTTGGTAAGGTGCTACCTGACTTGAAAGTAGACCATGAAGAGGAATAGTTAGGTGTAATATAAGCCAAACACTGCTCAAGGACCTAAGTGAAACTGGCAGGGCACTTAGAACAGATAAGGAAGAGTATAAAGACATTTTCCAGTCTCCAGGAATTGTATCATTGTGAACCACCCAGTCAGCCTTCAGGCTATGGGACAGCAGACAAACAAAATAGGTAGGTAGGTAGATAGGTAGATATCAATTCTATTGCTGGCATTTCAAATTATCGTGCAGGATTACTCATTTAGCCTGATTAATTCAATTAAATGTTGAACAAAAAGACACCTGTATTGTTCAAATTAAGGGTAGTTTTACACAGATATAAGGATGAGAAATTAACTTTTATCTTGAAAGTATTTAGAAACTTGAATGAAGGGTGAGCAAAATTAAGACTTCTTAAAATAACGCTTCTCTTAACAATAAATTCTCATGTAATTCTTCTGTAGTGCTATATTGATATTAATGCATATGTAGGAGTTAAAACAGATACAGGAACAAACTATACATGAAAAGCTTCACAAAGCTGAGAATAAAATGGAATAAAAGCCTAGTTAATATATGCTGTGGACAAGTGGTCACAGATATCTCATACAAAGAAGAGCCAAATATTCAGTAGCTTTAGGCTTTTGAGACACTAAATTCTGGGTGGATACTTGGGAACATTTCATGACATTTAATAATCTTTTCTTTAATTAAATAAATATTCTTTTCCTGTAGTTCAACAGCTTGGAGCAGCTCTGCATCAACTTCACTAATGAGAAACTGCAACAATTTTTCAACCACCACATGTTCGTACTGGAGCAGGAGGAGTACAAGAAGGAGGGAATTGAATGGGAGTTCATTGACTTTGGGATGGACCTGGCTGCCTGCATTGAACTCATTGAGAAGGTCTTTCTAAAATGTCTTTGGCTTCACAACATCATACTATTGTCCTTAAAGTAGGAAAGTTGAGCCCATGCCTGAACAATGCTGCCTCCATAGCAGTGAATCTATATAGATAGAGAGGAATACTTTAAAGTGAATTCCCTAAGAACGGTAATGATCCTGCTTCAGCCAGAGAACCAAACATTCACTTGGAGATATTCTTAGGCTCCATGTTCCACTGATTAGTGGCTCCAAAGAAGGAAAACATGGTTGGAACTGGATATGCCATGCATATCACTCATTGGCATAGATACAACAAGATGCACATTTGCACTTCCTCAATATGCTGTAATTAGGTTGTTTAAAAAAATAATTGCAGCTAAGGAGGAACAATTTTTCAAAGGTGGCCACAGCAGCAGAAAGGTTAGCTCATTCCTCCCCAACAGCCCCTGCCCTCAGTTGATAGTTGCATATTTATTGGGTTGAATCCAATACAACCTTGTGTTTGTCTACCAGTGGAACAGCATCTCTCAGCAAAACATATTCCATTTGCCTCCTACAAACCTCTACACCTTTCCCTCCCTAAGCTGTTCCAGGGGGTACATCTAGGAATTGTGCAAAGGCCTGCAGAAGGGAGGAGAGGAAAAGGAAGTTTCATGTCTACTTTGTACAGTGTTGGATTTAGCCCAGTTTTCCACCTTCTATGTTCCTTCCTCAATGCCAGGAGTAATGGAAAGCAGTTTTATTCATAAATAATGTGTGTTATTAGATGTGTTATTAAATACATTTCGTGTACCCAAAAAGGATTATTCTCAGCATTAGAGACATGAACTTGTAGAAATGGTTCCCTAATCAAAGTGTTTCACATTTGGTTGTTCAATCATGTGTAGTCTCTGTTCAAAAAGAGCCATCCTCCTTGGCTGAAACAGCTAACACTGTACACATTACAGATGAAAAACATGTGGGTGGTAAGCTCTCTGTTCCTCTCTGCTTTTATAGCCCATGGGCATTTTCTCCATCCTGGAAGAAGAGTGCATGTTCCCCAAGGCAACGGACACTTCTTTCAAGAACAAGCTCTATGACCAGCACCTTGGCAAGAGCAACAACTTCCAGAAGCCCAAGCCTGCAAAAGGCAAGGCTGAGGCCCACTTTGCTCTGGTGCACTATGCTGGCACTGTGGACTACAACATCTCTGGCTGGCTGGACAAGAACAAGGACCCCTTGAATGATACTGTTGTAGGGCTGTATCAGAAGTCTTCAATGAAAACCTTGGCCTTACTGTTTGCTGATCGTCCTGCAGAAGGTAACTCCTGTGACTTGTAATGCACTGATGTGCATAATCCTGATTAGGGCATCCAGCAGCACCACCTAAGGTTACTATGCCTGGATGACAAAATTCAGTCAGGCTGGTTGGAAATTAACCAGCCTTTCTCCTTTGCTCTTTGCTGATTGCCCTGCTGATGCTGGTAACTGCTCCCTAATTAAGAACTTCATAGATCCAAGTAAATAGTTCCTTTAGATTCAATTTATATATGTGTTAAATTGCATCCATTTATTTAATCTATTATCTCTCATTTAGAGGGTGGTCCCAAGAAAGGTGGAAAGAAGAAGGGTTCCTCTTTCCAGACTGTGTCTGCTCTCTTTAGGGTATGTACAATTTCTTTTATTGGTAAAATGGGTTTTTTTTAAAGCTGTTTGTCAGTATATAGATTATATCAGATGTCAAAACTATTTATTTATTTATGCACATATTCATATGCTGCCTATAATTGCCAAAAGGCCTTCCTAGGCAGCTTACAAATTAGAAGAGGAGAAGCCTAAAAACAGTGTTAGAAGGACCAGCTTGTCCAAAAAACTCTTTTTTAAAAAAAAAAAGTCCAAAAGAAAATATGTGCATGTATGTTTGAATTAACATGGTCTGAGCTTTCTTTCCGTTTTTCTCTTCAGCGATTCCCATTCCATGAGTAGCCTATCACTTAGTTTACAGACTTTAGTTTGGGAGTAATGTGAATTAATCTTCTGCAACATGTGGATGTCACAAATGCTTCTCGTTCCACAGGAGAATTTAAACAAGCTGATGTCCAATCTGAGGAGCACACACCCACATTTTGTGCGCTGCATCATCCCCAATGAAACTAAAACCCCTGGTAAGATACAGAACTCTGATTCTTTGAAAAATGTGATGTATGCACACTATATGTCGTTGCATTCATATTTTCTTTGATTTTTAAGGTGCCATGGAACATGAGCTAGTATTGCACCAGCTGAGGTGTAACGGTGTCCTGGAAGGTATCCGTATTTGCAGGAAAGGATTCCCCAGCAGGATTATTTATGGTGATTTCAAGCAGAGGTTAGATAAGCACCATATTACCAATTTATTCGGGTTGTCTTAAGTTGCTTTAACTTTTGACTATCCTTGCATTGTAACATACCATTTACCACACAGTGTTAGTTGCATACACAAATGGGCATAGAAGGAAATGCTAACAGTCAAAATATAGCGCTTTAACTATTTGAGATGAAAAATAAGAGTATTGGATCAGAAGCACTGTCAAGAGTTTCCTAGAATTTTTACTTCTACAGACCTGAGAAAATTCAAGAGGTGCATGAGAGGTACAGTAGCAGTCCCTGCAGTATCAACTATTTAAAGACACTACAGAGAACCACAGTCAGTAATAACTCTCTTCGCATCTCAGACACACATTTTTAAGGCAATTAGCCATTGAGGATACAGGTTGGCTTTTTTTCACCATTTAATGACAAAAACTAAATTTGATGGACCATTAGTCTGATCCAGTTGGGCGCTTATAAGTATGGCTTCCTATTTTAAACATCATTTTCTGCTTTCCCTAACAGATACAGAGTATTAAATGCCAGTGCCATCCCAGAGGGACAGTTCATTGACAGCAAGAAGGCTTCTGAGAAGCTTCTTGGATCCATTGATGTTGACCACACCCAGTATAAATTTGGCCACACCAAGGTATGATACCTCTAACATATAAATGTCATGTTTATACTGGGTGTGTATAAACCCAGTTGTTGGGACAGTTAGCCATATTCCGCAATATTTTCTCCCTCCAGGTGTTCTTCAAAGCTGGTCTTTTGGGACTTCTAGAGGAAATGAGAGACGACAAGTTGGCCCAGCTGATTACACGCACTCAGGCTATGTGTCGTGGGTTCTTGGCAAGGGTGGAATTCAAGAAAATGATGGAGCGGAGGTAGAATATAATACCACTCATGATTATTGACCTAACAAATGTATATGCAGCATCAATTTGGATGCTGTGCTCCATTCTGTTTTTATTGTAAGACTGTCCAAAGACCTCAGTATTGGACGGTATATAAAAGTTTTAAGTAAATAAATATACATATAAATATATAAATATGCACTACACAATGCTAACTATAGTACAAAACTTGCTTAGGGCCACTCTACTAATTTTGGGGCAGCAAATGTGTCCATTTGTCATATGCCTACATAATACAGGCAGTCATGGACAGTCTTGATTCCTTGGGATACATGCAGTATATGTACAGTATAATAGAAAGTATACACACATATTATATTTTCTGCATACACGTAAAGTATATCTTAAAAGTATACATGTAAGGCACATCTTTAAAATATCCTGTATTCAGTACTTTACTTAGGTCCCCTCACATCGATTCTGTTTACTTCTCTATTAGCATGTGAGTTTATGGAGCATGTTTCTAAAATGGGAACATTTGCCAAGAAGGCAAGTAGGAATTGAAGCTACTTTAAGATGATAATCCTACTACTGGATATTTTATTTGATAAGTTTCTTTATTTGTTTCCGCTTTCTTCTTTCAAATGTATTGACCCACAAACTTTTTCTTAAGTGACAGTCACTGATTCTTCCTACTTCTTCCTTGAGATATACATACGAAGTTTAAGTTAAGGCGAAGACATTGGTGTGCTTTAAAAGCTGAGAAAACTGCTGCTTATGAGCTCTCTAAAGTGCTTAACCAGACTTTGCAACTGAACCACTTAGAGGTCAAGTAATCAGATTGTTCAGATAGTCCAACATGAGAGCCACTTAAGGATTGGACGTAATAAATTACTTGCCAAGATTATTTTGAAATTATCAACATTTCATTTTGCTATCATTACAGAGAGTCCATCTTTACTATTCAGTACAATATCCGTTCATTCATGAATGTGAAGACCTGGCCTTGGATGAAGTTGTACTTCAAGATCAAGCCCCTGCTAAAGAGTGCTGAGTCAGAGAAGGAGATGGCCACCATGAAAGAAGAGTTTGAGAAGACAAAAGAAGAGCTGGCTAAGACAGAGGCCAAACTCAAGGAACTTGAAGAAAAAATGGTGACTCTGACACAAGAGAAGAATGATTTGCAGCTCCAAGTCCAGTCTGTAAGCATCACTGATGACATTGTATATTTGTGTTCTATTATAATTCTGACTTTAGATATTCAGACATTACAGGGGAAATTCCATTACAGAGATTAAATTCTACCTGTGAATAGAATTCTACCTCAGGTTAGTGTTTAGGTATTTTAAAATCAGCATCTGCTCTGGATATAATTTTGTCCACATAACCATGAACTGCTTTTTGGAATACTCTTTACATATTTAGGCCAGTTTGTTTATACCTAGCCTATGAGAAATAGGGGAAAAGATACAAGAAAGGGACAATATGATCACAAATTGTGGATGGAGTGAAAATACTACCTGTGAGTTTTCAAAGTTTGCTTCAAGATTCTGAAAAACTTAGTAGCAGAAGACACTGACTTCTGTTTTCTGATATCACCTTTGCTTCAACTTAATATTGAAGTGAATTTAATTTGGTTATAAGATCCCTTTGTTATTTAACATATTGTGAAATCTAATAATTAATTCACATTTGAAAGTTCAATATAAAGGCTACACTGAGTGAGAAATCTGTTCAGAAGATCTATTCTGTGCAATGCTTTCTGCAATGCCACCAATACTGCTCTTCCCACAGAAACCAAGTCCAAGTCCAGTCTGCAAGCCTATTTGTGACATTCTGAATTCTTGAACTTTTGATTATGTCAGATAGTTACAGGAATTTAAACAATGGTTGGGAAATTTCACAAGAATATTTAAGGTTGAATGGAATTTCTCTCTAAATATGGCAAAATATGTTGCTTCTCTTCACTGAAATAAATGAGTCGACACAAAAAACTGTGTATGTATGATCTCTTTGTTCAGGAAAAGATCCTTAACTGTTATTTAAAACATGCTTTACCTTCACAGGAAGCTGATGGCTTGGCAGATGCTGAGGAGAGATGCGACCAGCTG